CAACTCATTGTTATTTGAAGTAAGAACCCCATAGCTTCGCTATCTGGGGAAAACAGATATCACACCCGTCACAGATCACACAAGCGGTTTCAGCTTGCTCCATCTAGAGAGGCGCAAAAAGGATCCAAAAGACAGAAGGGCTCCCATGCCAATGGTTGAAGTCATTGATAATTTGCACTGGAAGCACGAAATCTTGTCACTCTGGAACGTCAATGTGGGTTGTGATGGATCTTGTAATACCATCTGGTCCATGAGTCCATGAGAATTCGCTTGCTGATTCCAGGCTATGAAAGTCGGCATGGTTCAAATGAACATAGCAAGGATTGCAATTTTGCAACAGTCGACTGCCGAGTCATTGTTTGTCCATCTGGTTTGAGTCCCCAGGCTTCCCACATCAAAAAGATCTATATTCTAAAATGAAAAAGAACTCACACCGCTGGTTGCCAAGTCTCGACGTGTCTTCGCCAGGATCTGCGAAGACATCCTTACGGACTGTTTGAAGGTTTGAGGGGATGGGTCATGAGTCATGACTATCATGTGACTCAAACAGAAGAGCGCTTGCGTACCTGCAAAAACTCATTGATAGCAGTTGGCCAGTTGATTGGCAAGCGTCAAAAAGGCATCCTTCTTCAGGTGTGCGGCCACACTTCCGTGGGTGTAAAAGGGGCGCAAGGTGGCTGCTGCTGTTGGGCCATTTGGGACCTGTCATGACCTGAAGCCAGTCACCAAGTCGTATCATTCGGTTGAGACGCACACACACACACACACTTAGATTGATGCTCGCAAGAGCTACGTCAGTGAAGATAGTCCACTCTAGTGATTACAATACCGGTTTAGAGCGCTGCACCTGAGTAACAGCCCTGAGAGGGAACGGAAAGGTGGTAGGGTCAGAAACAACACGGTTTACATCATTAATCGAACAGTTGCAGGTACGTCAGAGTGGCCAACTCTGATTTCACCATGGGCGTCTTCGTTGGTAGCGGTCCCAAGTGATCTGCCGCTACCCCCTGCCTTTAAAAGAGTTTGAGTGGCTTTGAACTAACTTGCAATGTGTGACAGCCTTAGAAACAGGCGTTGACACACACACCATGCCGATACCGGCGCTCAAGAGGTTTAGTAGCCACCTGACAAGCCTTAGAAAGAAAGAAAAAACGAAGAGGGCAAGAGAGAAAGATAGATGTAGTTACGAGGCCCACTAGTTACGAAACCCTCTAGCTACTGAATACTTAGCCGCATGAACTAAGTGCAATAGTTAGCGAGCGAGCCGTAAACGGCGCACCCTTGACAAAAAGTTTACCTGAAACCTAAAAAGACTCTAGCAAACGAAACAAAGACCTAGAAAATGAAAAGCAACAGCAGGAGAGAAAAAGAACCAAAAGAGATTACTTAGCTGCACGGTACGCATCTTTTTCATGACATGTGAATACTTAGCGGCGTGGAGGATTCTCCAATGTTTTTAACTCAGTGGGCCCTGCGGCATTCGATCAGCATTCTCAAGCAAACCAAAGGAGCCAGTGAAGGTCAAAGTGAAGTTCACGTGAGAGGAAAGAGAGAGTCAGTACAGTCCCCCAGCTTGGGTCTATGCACATGCTGCGCCCCTTGTCGGGGATCACACCACAGCCCACTGCGGCACACACTTAGATTGATGCTCGCAAGAGCTACGTCAGTGAAGATAGTCCACTCTAGTGATTACAATACCGGTTTAGAGCGCTGCACCTGAGTAACAGCCCTGAGAGGGAACGGAAAGGTGGTAGGGTCAGAAACAATATGGTTTACATCATTAATCGAACAGTTGCAGGTACGTCAGAGTGGCCAACTCTGATTTCACCAGATCAAATGGGCGTCTTCGTTGGTAGCGGTCCCAAGTGATCTGCCGCTACCCCCCTGCCTTTAAAAGAGTTTGAGTGGCTTTGAATTAACTTGCAATGTGTGACAGCCTTAGAAACCGGCGTTGACACACGTCCAGGGCCTAGGCGGCCTAGTGAGTTGACATCTTTCAGTGAAAAACTCATAGTCTGTGATGAACTGTCTAGGGCCTAGGTCAACAACCTGGGGCCACTGCTCATTCAATGTCCTTCCCTCAAACCAGCAACCGACTGATGACTGACGAAAGAACTCAAGTGTGGTTGCCCTAGAATAGCCCGACTTTCAACCAGAAAGCGAAGAACTCGAATATAGGGGCTGTAGCTTGCCTTGCCGGAAAAGGTTGTCTTGATCAATAATCCAAGTCACATTCTGACTCACCCTCTCAGTGAGATACAAAGTGTTCCACTTTCGCGCGTCCACCCCCACCAGGAGCTTGTACCTCCATTTAAGCATTTGTTCAATCTGCTAAGCAGATTTGGACTCTATCTATATAACTTGGTGGGCCTGTCAGTCGGCATATATTTTATAGTGTTGGTGCTTTCTCCCACTGGTTGTGGAAATAGGTCACAAAGCGCAAGTGTCGCTGAGAATGCCTGTCGCTCCTCCCCCAGTTGCAAAACCAAACCGTCAAACTCTTGACACATCTACGTGGCTGTCTCTTGTCTTCACGCAGCATGCACAAGTCCACAGTACAAAAAGGTTCTACCTCTGGATGAGTCCAACAAGCCTGCATCACCTACCGCATCCCCTTTCTCCTTTCTCCTTTGGACTCCCTCGCCTCCCACGGATGACGCCGCCCACAAAGGTTTGTCCGTCACCGTTGGGGGTTTGTGAGGAGGTCTCGCCGACAATGACTTCATCACGTGGCGACGAAGCCGTCACCCCGGAGAGCCAGGGCCAAACATCCTCAACTGCAAAGAAACTGGCAACGTTTTTTCAATGCCAATTCCTCAAATCGGGTGAAGAAGTGTCACACACCGTGATTGTAGCTCCATATCTTGCTGTCCACCGGCCAAATGGAAAGTGTTCAACACCACAGGCTCGCTAGTCACAAGTAGCGCAGGGGCGACGGCAACCACACAAGGGACGTTTTGAAATGCCACATGGCTGGGGCCAAGGCTACTCGGTCAATATACTCAACTACCTGAAGCTGAGAAGCCAAGGAGTCGTGGGGTGGTAAGCCAGCAGCTTTCGCTTGGTGATCTTCTGCATCGACACCAGCCAGGCCTGCATAGGTGGCATACCTCAGTTGCAACATGGCAAGTTTCATCAGTGTTGCAGCACTTGTCGCTCCTGGAACTTCAATTATCAGAATGCAATCCGAAGGGATCTCATCGTGTTGTCCACTGGGACGCCCGGCCAGTCCCAGGCCGTCACGAAGCCCTCTAACTTGCTGCCACGACCTGGGGAGCTTTGAGAGCCATTGGACTTGAACTGTTTCACCCCCAGAGCTTGTTTCCTGGCTCACCTTGGCCCTTTAAATGGAGAAGCTCAGCACCTACCTTTGCTGTGCACCATCCTGCAGCTTGCAGGCCAACTAGCAGTGCTCAAGTTGGCGTCAGGTTTCACCACATTCTCCTCTGGGGCCTGAACGTCCTGGTGGCACGTAGCCGCCGTTGACAAAGGCATTAACGCCTTGGCGCCAACTGTTTGGACAACTAAGACTCAAAGTCTATATAGAGTCTAAGACTAAGATCCTCAAAATATAGAGATTCAGATTCGAACAGTATAATGGGCGTTCATCTACTTTGCAAAATTACAATCTTGATGTGGAGAATCTATGAACTTCTCGTCCATTTGGAGAGGCTTGCAATGGTAAACACAAGCTCCAGACTCAATGGTTGAAACAAGGCATGTTGCAGGGACGGGTGCATCCTTTCATACTAAGTGACACAAGCAGAAGGTACCATGAGCTACAACAGCTATTGCAATTAGTCAAATCTTACATGCAATGTACAAAGCAGAAGCCTACAGTTGGAAACCTACTTGAGCAGACAAGTATTCGCACACTGACCCCCGATCTATCACATTCCTCTTGCTTGGCAAGGAGCGAATGCCACCTTCGAAGTTAGAGAACTTGCCTGGAACGTTGCGCTCAAGTCAATACGGACCGATCTCTATCTATTCTCTTCTTCAGCCTTAGCTGTTGGAGGCCATTGCTATTTGGTTGGAGGCCATTGCTTTTAGATTCCGTATGCTATTATTGAAGTTTCGGAGGCCTTGAAGCTGCACAACTTGGAAGCTCACTAAATGGTCAACCGACGTGATGGGCTGTCCGTGAGCCCCTCTTCGCACGGTTGCTTACTTATCAAAATTACACCACCGTAGACCCCAAACAGTTTGTTTTTTTCAACATCGAAACTAGAGCTTGCGACGTCCAGAGCTGGGAGACAAAGGACTGCAAGGCAGAGGCGGCCACAGCAACCCAGAGCTGGGAGACGAGTGTAGAGGATTGCAAGGCAAAGACGGACACAGCAGTACAGAGCGGGCGGACACATCTTAAGAAAGAATTGAGAAGCCCTGACAGTAAACCTCTTGGGGAATTATTCTTCAAGTGCGAACATGACGCTGGTCATGCTGCTCAATCAGCAAGGAGCTGACCGCGTGAGGACAAGAAATAAAAGCGTGAGGAGCGAAGGATGTGACATGAAATTGATGTTTGGTGCCTGACGCATGCCCTGAGACTGTCACAAAATGCAATCCGGTCATTCATGGAACGCTTGCCCGAAAAGGAAAACAAAGCTGAGAGAGTTACACAGTGTGGCAGGAATGCACTCCCGGAGACAGTCACGCGGCAGAAAACAGCAGCGCAGGCACCAGGCAAAAAGACAGAAGTCGCATGGGAGACAAATGAATAGAAATGCTACATGGCCAGCGGAAAAGGGCGGCAGCACCAGTGTAGAAAGCTGCATGGCCAGCGGAAAAGGGTGGACACCAGCAGTGACAGACCTGGAAAACAAATGAATAGAAATGTTGCATCCCCAGCGGAAAAGGGCGGACACCCAACAGTGACAGACCTGGGAGACTGATGCATGGCCGACGGAAAAGGGTGGACACACCAGTGACAGACCTGGGAGACAAATGAATAGAAATGCTGCATTGCCTGCGGAAGAGGGCGGACACCAGCAGTGACGCACCTGGGAGACAAATGAATAGAAATGCTACCTGGCCAACAGGGCGGACACCAGCAGTAACGGACCTGGGAAACAGATGAATAGACATGTTTCATGGCCAACGGACAAGGGCGGACACCACCACTAACAGACCTGAAAGACAAATGAATAGAAATGCTACATGGCACCAGCAGTGATGGACCTGGGAGACAAATGAATAGAAATGCTTCATGGCCAATAGACACCAATGACAGACCTGGGAAACAAAAGAATAGAAGCGCTACATGGCCAGCGGAAAAGGGCGGACACCACCAGTGACAGGCTGGGAGACACACGAATAGAAATGCTGCATGGCCAAGGGACAAGGGCGGACACCAGCAGTGACAGACCTGGGAGACAAATGAATAGAAATGCTACATGGCCAACGGAAAAGGGCGGACAACGCCAGAGATGGGAGACAAATGAATAGAAATGCTACATGGCCAGCGTCCAAGGGCGGACACCACCAGTAACAGACCCGGGAGATGAATAGAAATGCTGGACACCAGCAGCGACAGACCTGGGAGACAAATGAATAGAAGTGCTACATGGCCAGCAGAAAAGGCGGAAACCAGCAGTGCAGGGCTGGGAGACAAATTAATAGACATGCTACATGGCCAGCATAAAAGGGCGGACACCAGCAGTGACAGGCCTGGGAGACAAATGACGCAAAAGGGCGGACGCGGACACCAGCAGTAACAGACCTGGGAGACAAACGAATAGAAATGCTACATGGCCAGCGGAAAAGGGCGGACACCAGCAGTGACAGACCTGGCAAACAAATGCATAGAAATGCTACAGGACCAGCGGAATAGAAATGCTGCATGGTCAGCGGAAAAGGGCTCTGCGGTGGTAAGTACACTGAGACTAACCAGATCGAGCACGCCTGGTAGCAGACACACGCAGCAATGGCAAAATGGTTTACCAAAGTCTTTTCTACAGTGAGGACCCATCCTGGAGGGATGCGGATTGCCACGCCAGCCTGCGGATTTGGGTCGTGCTTTGCAAGAGAAGCAGCAGACCTGGGAGGCAAATGAATAGAAATGCTACATGGCCAGTGGAAATGGGCGGACACCAGCACTAACACAAAGGGCGGACACATCTTAAGAAAGAATTGAGAAGCCTTAACAGTAAACTGCTTGAGGAAAAACAGCCGGGAACCCGACCAGAAGCGCCCAGCCTGAAAAGAAGTGGGAGACAAGCCGGCCGGGGACCCGACCACAAGCACCGAGCCTGGGAGACAAATGAAAGGAAGTGGGAGACAAGCCAGCCGAGAACCCGACCACAAGGACAAATGAAAACTTGAGGCCAAGGGGGGGGGGCGAAAGCTAGCGCTCCAGAATGGGAAAGTGGAGGGCAGCGAGGTAGGAAAAAACACGGCGCTCTTTTTGGAGGCAGGGGTGAAAAGGAAGTGTTGCGAAAACTAGAAGCCCAAAACTGTAGACATTCTCTCCATAGAAGTGTGAAGAGTCCTTTATATGTGGCTCTTTGCCCGGATCCTCCTGCGAGAGAAGAGAGAGAAGAGAGACGGAAAGACGAGAGACAGAGAGGCGAGAGAGAGAGAGAGGAGAGAGAGATGAGAGAGATGAGAAAGAGATGAGAGAGATGAGAGAGATGAAAGAGATGAGAGAGGGAGGGGGGGGGGTCTTCGACCTAAAACATCAGGGGTTAGGATTTGCACCCGCGTAGAAATGCTGGACACCAGCAGGGACAGACCTGGGAGACAAATGAATGGAAAATGCTACATGGCCTGGGAGACAAACGAATAGAAATGCTACATGGCCAGCAGAAAAGACCTGGGAGACAAATGAATAGAAATGCTACATGGCCAGGAAAAGGGCGGACACCAGCAGTGACAGATGTGGCAGACAAATGCATAGAAATGCTACATGGCCAGCAAAAAAGGGCGGACACCACCAGTGACAGGCCTGGGAGACAAATGAATAGAAATGCTGCATGGCCATCGGAAAAGGGCGGACACCAGCAGTGACAGACCTGGGAAACAAATGAATAGACATGTTGCATCGCCAGCGGAAAAGGGCGGACACCGCAGACTGGGAGACAAATTAATAGAAATGTTGCATGGCCAACGGAAAAGGGCGGACACCACCAATGACAGACCTGGAAGACAAATGAATAGAAATGCTACATGGCCAGCGGAAAAGGGCGGACAGCAGCGGTAACAGACCTGGGAGACAAACGAATAGAAATGCTACATGGCCGGCGGAAAAGGGCGGACGCCAGCAGTGACAGACCTGGGAGACAAATGCATAGAAATGCTACACGACCAGCGAAAAAGGGCGGACACCACCAGTGACAGATTTGGGGGACAAACGACTAGAAATGCTGCATGGTCACCGGAAAAGGGCGGACACCAGCAGTGACAGACCTGGGAGACAAATGAATAGAAATGCTCGGACACCAGCAGTGACACAAAGGGCGGACACATCTTAAGAAAGAATTGAGAACCCCTAACAGTAAACTGGTTGGCGAAAAAGTGGGAGACAAATGCAAGGAAGTGGGAGGCAAGCCGGCCGGAAACCCGACTACAAGCACCCAGCCTGGGAGACAAATGAAAAGAAGTGGGAAACAAATGAAAGGAAGTGGGAGACAAGCCAGCCGGGAGCCGGACCAGAAGCACCCAGCCTGAAAAGAAGTGGGAGACAAATGAAAGGAAGCCGGCCGGGAACCCGACCACAAAGGAAGTGGGAGACAAGCCAGCCGGGAACCCGACCACAAGCACCCAGCCTGGGAGACAAATGAAAAGAAGTGGGAGACAAATGAAAGGAAGTGGGAGACAAGCCGGCCGGGAACCCGACCACAAGCACCTATCCTGGGAGACAATGAAAAGAAGTGGGAGCCAAATGAAAAGAAGTGGGAGACAAATGAAAGGAAGTGGGAGACAAGCCAGCCGGGAGCCCGACCACAAGCACCCAGCCTGAGAGACAAATGAAAAGAACTGGAGACAATTGAAAAGAAGTGGGAGACAAATGAAAAGAAGTGGGAATTAAATGAAAGGAAGTCGGAGACAAGCCAGCACCCAGCCTGGGAAACAAATGAAAAGAACTGGGAGGCAAATGAGGAAGTGGGGGACAAGCCGGCCGGGAACCCGACCAGACCATCCAGCACCAAGGCGACCATTCTTTAAAGCATTGAGAACCCCTAACAGTAAACTGTTTGGGGAAAAATTGTCCACTCCCCCTGTCATGCCACGCCTCCTCGCAGGGGCCAGTTGTTTCCACCACAAATGCCTTTGGCCATGATTTCTCCGCCATTGTCGCTGTGGAACACAACTAAGCTGTTGTTCCACATACCTCTCTCCTTCCCGCATACAGACGAAAGCAGGCTGAACCGGGAAACCGGGATTAATCATTGAGTAATTGGCTGCCAGCCCTGCATGATGCTTTTTGATTCTGCCGCCATTTCAGTAAAATCTAGAGCATCCCTTGTTTAAAAACAAAACCAAGAACAAACCTGCATGTCCCCGAATGAGAAGCAAAGGTTGTTTTGGACCTGACTAAGGAAGACAGAACTTATGCAGGAAAGTCCCTTAAGTATATATTTGCCAGCCACTGCTTCCTTCATTGATGTTGATGTATATATACCTTTTTGTATCATCCATGCCGCTAAATATCAACTTCCTTCTGCTTCTGTTCGCTGCAGCAATGCCTTTGCTCCCTTTACTTCCCTGAAGGCTGTTTCTGGAGTAAGCCCACAGTCACAGTCATCTTGAATCTACTTCCTGGCAATCACTGTGATACCTTACAACAACCAACTTCAAAGCACCGCAAGTCAGCGACAATTGACCCCCACTGGAAGTAGATTCGAATGGATTCCTTGAGGAGATCAACCACCTCTCCAATTTCATCATCCATGAAGTTCACCATGGCGTGCATCAGCCGGCGGTGCTTCTCCTTGATGAACGAAAACCTGCCGTCGAGGCGTCCAGGCCAAATGAACACCGAAACATCGGACCAAACGAGCCCCCTTCGTAGTGTCCTTGCTCCTAGTAGTAAGGCACTTGTTTCTACTAGCTTCTTGTTACTACTAGTAAGGCACTTGTTACTAGAAGCGATGCACTTGTTCCTAGTAGTGTCCTTGCTCCTAGTAGTAAGGCCAGGAGAGCTTCTTGTTACTAGTAAGAATGCTCCTAGTAGCGATGCCAGGAGCCCCTAGTAACTAGTAGCATCCTAGCCAAAGAGCTTTTTCTCGTAGGCTTCTGGAATTTGCAGCGGCATATGCACCAGGTGCAGTGCCCAGAAGAGGAACAGCCTCAGGCTGAGGAAATTTTTGGACTGGCATGTCGTTCTAGGCGTGGTACTAAAAAGAACTTCCCCTCTGCTGCAAGTCAGGGAACGGCTCAGCAACGTTGTGGTTTCGGATCACAGATTTTGCGGCCTCTGCGAAGAGTGCTTCTTCGAAGACACAGGTCTCATTGACAGGGTTCTGATTTTCTTGAGAGCAAGACGGGCCATTCCTGACAGTTGGCTGTCAGCGATCAGTGACCCTATTCACGTAGACACCACAGCAGAGGAGGACACCATCGTTTACTTAGCTTGGATGATCTAATAGTGGCCTGTAGAATAATCCAAGCTTCTTGTTGTTACAGCTCTTTTGATATGCTTGTTAATTTGCATAAGCAGCAATGCCAGCGTGGCCGAGAGTCTGCAGGTGATATGCTGGTCCATCATAGCTGGCGTTGAAGATCCAAAGATCGCGCATCTTCTTGAGACCGCACATGCCCTCCTCAGTGGTGGTATGTTGGTAGCTCACTGCAGTCTGCTCCGGGGGTGATTGACACGTTCAAAATACACAGTTTGAAATGACCTTTATGTTTGCATATACCGTCTTCGTGTAAGTAATTGTGTGATTATCAAAGAAACACACACACCAAAAAAAGAAAACAATAAAGAAGATCCCAGAAGAATGAATATCAGACAAGCCTCTGTGTGTTGCCAATAGTCATTGGTATGATGCCAATATCCAAACCAGCTTTCATATCCTCGGGCCCTCGGATGATGAGCAGCTGTTGCCATGCCGACATCCCACTTTCCCACCATGTGGGTTCGATAGCCTCCACGCTTTAGAAGGCTTGCGATGCCGGTCATGTTGATGGGGATCCCCTGGCGCAAGCCGGTCTCTTGAGACATCTTGAGACATGGATCACCACCGGTCATGTTCTTGTTCCTAGTAGTAACAAGTGCCTCGCTAGTAGTAACAAGTGCCTTACTAAGTAGTAACAAGAAGCTATTAATTTAAATTTATGAAGGTGATCAGACGAATCAAGCCAAGCCCTTTCAGCCTGAAAGCCACCCTCCTGATCCTTGGAGTTCACACACTCCGGCTTCACGTTCTGCACATTCACATGGACCGGGTTGCGACCCGTTTGGATGGCGCTTCGGGCCGGTGAGCAGAACTGGTAGCTGTAGAAGCGATCTAGCTCAATGCCAGACCTCAGCCGTCTGGGCCGAACTTGGAGCTTTGGCGTTGGCGGACTGTCATGACAAACCTTCCAACCTTCAGCGTTAAACGGTGTTGAAGTTGGCTGTGTTCTACAACTGTTGTTTTGGAAACAAAAAAACGACCCAAGTTGTTGCCTTCCCCAGCACAGTTGGTCCATCCCAGAAAGCCCAAAGAAAAGCCATCTCAGCAGCCACACCCTCCATGTTCTCCTAGCTCCATGGCATTTGAATGCATTTGACTCGAAGCCTGTCCCATACCCTCAAAGTGCTCAAATTCGAGTTTGTGTTTCTAGATCTCGCCTCGCCCATATTTTGCAGCACAACGGAACCATGCAAAGCATCCAGCCTCCCCAACCTCCTGAACTGGTCGAAACGAGCCGAAACCGGGCCCAAAGAGGCCTCGCCAGTGCATCGATGCGGGGCGTTTTGACATCACCATCGTCCTCACGATGGTAGCCTGTCATGTGAAGGGGGGTCTAAGCTCCATTGGAGTAACGTGTTTCTGTTTTAGGTGCATGTCATTCAAAGGATTCTTCTGCTGGGGAGAGAGAGAGAGAGTGAGAGAGAGCGAGAGCGAGAGAGAGTGAGAGTGGGAGTGAGAGTGTCAGAGAGAGAGAGAGAGAGAGAGCAACATCGACAACGGCAACCTGGCCATACATCACTCGACTATTTCAGCATGCACCGTAGATCAGAAAGAACGCCCTTTCTGGAAGGGACGACCTTAGGGGACAATGACGACCACCGAGGACCGCACCCACTTCTGCCCAGCCCATATCATCCGCCAGGATGTGGATAATGTGCGGCCGAGTGGACGCCCAGCAAGGTACCTGAGGGGCAGGTGAAACAAACCTGAATGTGGGATCAACAAACCTTTGTGGTTGCTCCTCTTTTATTTCGGGAGACGGTAGGCCACTAGAAGAGATAAGAAGAGGTAGTTAGTGGAAGAGTGACCACTAGTAAGCTACTACCTACTGGAAGCAGGACAGCTCACGCTTCTTCAAGGAAGCGCTCGCACTATTCATTTGGAGGTAGGCGAACCCGGCTTTGTTCGGTGTGAAAAAGAGAGATCCGTGCACTGTCAAGCGACCAAGAGTTCACAACAATTCACAGGGGATGCTGCTCAGACACGGGCACCCCCCAAGTCAGATTAGGACTAGGAGGAACATCAAAGAAAAATACCATCAGGCCATCAACCATGCTGAATCCAACAGCATATTGCCCTCACAACAATTTGAAGTTCCCCCGTTTGGAATGTGGAGACAAGAAAAGCTCCCCGCGCCTACACACGGTTTCGGAGTCCAAGGTGCTGTGAGAATTAACAAGCAAATCTTCTCCATTGCGCAAGACCAACGACTTGCTTTGAAAACAATGGTTGAGCCAGAACGCTCCAGCGCGTGAACCACCTTGGACTCTCAAACGCGGTCAAGACCGGCATCCTAACAACTGCAGTAGTCGAACATTGGTCCGAATCTAGACCCCAAGAAGTGCTTGCCCCCAACCAGGGCCCACCTTCGAACAATGCATCTCACAATTAATACAAGCTACTACATGTTTACTAGGAACAAGAAGCTACTAGTATGAAAGGGCATCGCTACTAGGAGCAAGGACGCTACTAGTAACAAGGGCATCGCGACTAGGAGCAAGAAGCTATTAGTATATAGCTCCTGGCCTTACCACTAGGAACGCTACTACAAGGGACCTCACATCTCAGAGTGCTCTAGATTCTCAGATCCTTTGTTGAGCTTGGATGATCACAGGATTTGGATGAGGTGGATTGGAATCCGCTGCACCTCCGATGTAAACAAAGCTTCGAAGCACAGGACAGAGAGTCCTAGTGTGATTGTTGCGGCAACAACTCACATTAGAGTCACATTGGGCTACAACCCCATTGCCTGCAAAGAATTCACTCAGGATGTCTGCCAATACGAGTCACGACTCCTAGCAGGTCCTTGATCCGCTTTGAAGATCTTAACTTGGTCGTACCTGTTACAGTGTAGGTAGATCGACTCCTTGATCGCTTAGTAGTGTCCCTGCTGTAGAGAAAGTGCTTTGGTGCTCTTCTACCAAGCTCGGACTTCTGGACCAGGCGAAGAAAGCTACGCTGGTGCCTATACAGATGTTAATGGTAAACGGTAAACTACTATTCTAGGTATCAAGCATGCTGCGCACAGGGTGTGTGCAGAAGCACCATTCTAGACAGGGTGTGGTGATCTAACTCAGGCTTGCAATGAGACATGGTATCCTCGGAAACCGTCTGATTTAGCCTCATCAAGCAATTTAGTCACGGACCTGGACAAGCAAAAATGTAAGGTGGCAATAATGGCTTCCCTCAACAAGAATCTGTTTGCTAGTAGCTGGTGCGACGTTCATCAAGTACAGCCAGTGTCTTTTAGGGTGAGGCCATTGGAGCACTCTGGTCAAATTTGTAAATCTGATTTTCCTCACTGACTGCGAGAAGGTGATATGGTATTCCAGCATGTATGATGGAGACACACCGCAAAGGGATGATTCTGAACTTACAAGTATACTTACAAGTCAGCCTCGCAGCTTTTGTGGCAATCCCCAAGATAATAGGAGATCTTTCCTTCTGCAATCTAGGATGAGCAATTGGCTTCATGCTCTCATCGTTTCCAGACTCTGCGGCTGCATGATCTTTTTGGCTGCATCAGAAAGGCTGAGCTGTGGCTGAGCTGGTTGGCACCTACAGGAAACTAGGTCCAAACTCAGATCTCCAGATCGACAAAAGTGAATCGACCAAATATACTTGGCCAAAATGTGCTGAACTCCTACTCTGAGGTGTTGTGCGGTTGTGCGATGCACCTGCTCAATTACATGTACATGCTGTAAATGTTTCTTTAAAGGAGTCGGGTCAAGAGAACGATCGCTCTGCCCTCCCGGCCTGGCTAGGAGCGGCGGCAAGCCCAAAGCCCTACCAGCACAGCCACGGCTGAGGCGGAGAGCAGCACTAGCCTGAACCTCGGTCGGAACGTTATGTTCACCTTGGTGTTCCCCGGTGCAAAACGCAGAAGAGTTTCAAGTATTCACCAATGAATTGCAAACACGACTTGCAGCACGCGACTCGCATGTATGTTCTCTGGGCCCAAGAACTTGCAACACGGGCACGGTTCTTCTGTGCGTCATTGCTCTTGGGTTGCTTTGTTGCCAAGCTCAGTATGAGACTTGATGATGTAGTTTATGATGTCCATGTAAGGTCCATACACACAAAAAGCTTCGGCTTTGGTGACAACGCTTGTCTGACGCCAAGTTGCTCCCGTTTGGACACATCGCCCCTTTCGCCCCCGAGGCGCAAGAACAAGTGCCGGCGCACGGCTCGCTGGAGCGCCTGGAGGACAACGTGACGACTTTGATGAATGGAAAAAAAAGAAATGAATTAGGTGTTAAGTTTCTTTAAATTGGATTGTATTTTAAAAAAATACAAAAACACCTGGCATGATAACAGGCTTCATGCACCCACCTGCACCCATGGATCTCTTTACTTAGCAACTTCGATAAATATGCACCCAGAAAACCCAGTGAAGTGAGTGTTTGCCTGAAGTTCGTTCTTATGGCAAAATCTAGAACAGCCCAGTGCCTCCTCGGCCGAGATGATCCGTCTCTTCAGCACGGGCTTTTGCTGGCTCCTCGGCAGAGCTGGAATCGGCAATGCAATACTCGAAAAACCAGGCAATGCAAGCGAGTTCCAGCTCGCCGCTTCTCCAACATCAAGCTAGCAAAGCAGCCATTTAATGGTTGGGAAAACTGTTCGTCCATCCAGCCTAGTAGTGTTATGTACCTCGACAATCATAGTGACTGAGTAGATTGGAGTTGTTTGGACTGAAGGAGCAAACAACCCCTGACTTCCTCAGCCTTGCAAAGGAAGTTGGATGAAGCAGTCCCATGATACCAAAAAGGTTGTGACCCCTGGTCCGCACCTATATGCAAGAATGACCCAAAGCCCTTTTCAACTTTAATGGAGTTTCCCACCATTCAGCACTGGCTGACACGTCACTTTGGAGAGTTTGCTGCTTCGGCTTCCAATTGCCTCGGCGACTGCTGCGGGAGGAGCTTTAGTAGATTTGATGTTTAACAAGCTTGTCCAAAAGATTCCGTGTCCATGTGTCAAACGTTCATGAGTCGTGAGATAAAACATAACAGGCTTCATGTAAACAAGCTTAGCATTCTAATTACGACGCCCCACAGGAGTTGAAACAGAATTTGTAGCACGTGCCCTGTTCAAAGCTCCATGAAGATTCCCAATCGCATGAGCTCACACCAGCTTCCTTTTCTCCATTATCGATTAGGCCTCCCAACCTCCTCCGCATCAGAAGCTCCACGTTGGCCGATGGGAATGGCCCTCTCGGGGTGCCCTGGACCAAGTGTTTCCTGGAAACGCAGCCGATGCACGACTATCTCTGTGAAGGCCCAGGGACACCTCGCGATGGCTGCGCAGCAGGCCACATCCCCGACACTATGACCCGCACACGTATCCCAAACACGTCCTCAAGGGCATGGTTAATGACTCGCGGTCATCCACAATCACCTGAAGCCGAAACGTCTTGGGCCTTTCTGATGTCTTTCTCACATGAAAAGTGAACCTCTGGCGAACGTTTCAAAATTGGACGGTTTCTCATTCCAACTTCCAAAGGAGATGGACCACCGGACGCCTCATGAAGCTTGTCTTTGAAGCTGTAAAGCACATAGAGGCTGAGCTCGAGATCCAACTTCCTTGGCTGTGGGACCGAAGACATCCTACAGCCTTATTGCAAACCGGAGTCCACTCCTGAGGCACAGCTCTCTGGACTACAAATATCCACACTGCATGAGATGATCAACAAAAACATGTCATGAAAGCACGTTTCACATAAACTCAACTACACTACACTTTATGGAGGAAGCAAGAACTGAGCAAAGAAAAGAAGCACAACAAAGCAAGGCAAAAGTTTATTTTTTAAAAAATATAGAAACCGAATGCATTTAACGTTGAGAAGCTAAACTAGTAGTTCCTAGGTTTCTTGTTAGCCCAGCCTGTGGTCTGCCCCCCCGCGTGGCCTGGCGTGAAGTCACACCGAACACCTTCGAGTGCCGAAGCTCAGCGGTGTGGGGTTGTAGAAGCCCGGGAGATCCGCCTGCAGTGCACAGAACAGCACCAGGATCCAACAAGCCTTTGGGGGTCTGGGAAAAAGCACGATAATCAATTGAAACATATCGCTTGCGACTACTGTCCTTGGGACTCTGATCCTCTGCAGGTGATAATTTGCCGTCTATCTGCGTCTCGATTGTAAATGGTGCCCCCTTACGTAGGTTCAAGTGTTTGCACGTGTCAAGACCCCAGGAAGATCTTGACCCTGAGCATCACTTTTACATAATGGTGATCCAAAAATCTAAATGCCAATACTAAATGCCACCCGCCAAGCCACCGGACATCACGTGTGCCACAAAATGCTGCATGGTGCCTTAAGATGCTGAGATGTACGTGTCAACTCTGTCTTGGCAGACATGTACGGCCCCTTCCCCTTCATCTAACCTTCCGGCCTTCGAGGAGGTCGAGCTCCCGTGCACCACAATGCTGTGTTGCTCCACCAAGCATTGCACCGCTGAGGTCACGTCGATCCAGGGCCCCTGCAAATCTCCAGGCCCGATCGTCCTCACCAAATGGAGAAACCGCGCCACCGGAGAAGGGGCACGGGTCAAACAAAATGGTCTGTTTGGTGGTGGTTGTGCCGAAGCTCCAAATGGAGAGATCATGGTCAAGATCCGTGTATGTCTTCCAACCCCTGCCTGTCACGTTTGAGAGATTCATGGAGAAGCTCCTCCCGCAACTGCAAGTTCCCATACAGGGCCTGCAAGATCTCAGTTCTTTGAGGTGGAAACTGAGCATTGGATTCACTTGTCAAGTGCAAAATGGCTTCTTCATCAGATGGTCGTAAGATCAAATGGCCACTGACTATGTTAGTTACAGGCATTGGATGGCATTGGTATAGTTCTCTCCTAATGGCAAACAACAAAGCTCAGTTGCTAGCCTCTGTTGCACGTTTGGGTGGTCGGAGTGGGTGGACATAAAATTTGATGAGGGATGTCTTCACCGGTTTCACTTCTCAGAACCACGGTTGGATATGTTATGCCTTTCCATGGCCTTCCCATTGCACACAGCAACACAAGGATACAGAAAGGTCTTGGGTATTTGCCCTGCCTTTGTTTTACGCTCCCTCTCCTGCCCTCAACAGCAGACACATTTTTCTGTCCCTAGATCTGCAGTCTACTGTCCCTAGAGTTGAGGATCAACGTATACAGTCCTATCTAGAGTCTGGAGACTGTCTGGTTTTGTTGCTGGATTTCACCCACTCCTACCTGAGTATGAAGCAATCCTCCCAGAATCCTCCCAGCTTCCAATCGGAACATTTGAGCTCAAAGACATGTGCTCCGGGACTCCGGCTCTCTATTCCAGCTGAATGGACTAGATGTCCAAAAGGAACACAAAAGGAAGGCAAAAGGAAGGGAGCCGATGATTTGCAGCCTGACAAAGAATTGAGACGAGTGGGCAAGCTGCCCTCTGCTCGGTCCACATCGAAATTGTGGCGCAGCTAGGATAGAGCCATCGGGCCAGAGATGTCTTGGTGAAGATGGCTAGAACGTGAGATAGCATCCGGCTCCTTGCTGGGCATCTCTGGCAGCTCGTAGAAAGTTGGATACATCCAATTGTCTCAGGCTCCTGGAACCCTTCCCTTGACAAAACTCAGAGGCATGCTTGGAGCTTGCCATCACAAGTCGGAAGTGCAGTGGCAGAAGTCGGAAGCTGTCTTGCAGTTGCATGGAGATTGAAAAGCCTGGTGGCCTAAACAAAGGAACTGTTTGTCAATGTTCAACTCTAGGGCATGCCTTCCAACATCCAACACAGCTTGTGACAGGTCTGCGGTCTGCGCCAAAAATTTGAGCACCTACAATCTGCTCCGCTCAGAAGCTTTGAAGGAAGCGCGAAAAAGCTCCTCAGGGTATGATGAAAGGCTCAATACTTCAAGACCTGAGGACTACATTCTCATGTTGATGCAAGGCACATTCCAATGTCCCCGAAAGCGAACAGGTCTCAATCCATTTTCTTAAGAACAAACGCCAAAACCAACAAAATGGTATTGTATATATATATATATATAAAGAGGGAAACGGATCGAACCATCGGTCCTTTGGGAATAATGCTTTGGAGACCGGGTCTGTTGCCCACTCAGATGAGTTCGATAGCATTTCGCTGGCTAACCAGCCGATGTGATCGGAGCTCTTGGCGGCCCAGCCATTGCCTGGAACGGCTCAAGCTCTTCGGGCAACAATATTTTCCTCCTCTGATTCGTTTAACATATATATTCAATTGAATTTGAGTTCAAGGGAGCATCACAAAAAATCGCCGCGGCAGGATCTTTTTCTATTTCAAATCCTGCGGAAGTCTATTCCACCCTATGTGGTCCAAAGAAGAACCTTCAGGATCACGGAGCATTTCACTATGGACAAATTGAATTGAATGGATGACTGCCCTGGCTAGACAGCTGCCTCCACTGGCTACTGCCACACCCTTGTCCAGGTAGTCGATGTAGGGTCGGCGCTGCCCTTGGCCATTTGGATGCGTATCATCCGTGATACACACTATGGTGCTCACATGGCCAGTAAAAGTGACACCTGGCAACATTGGCAAGATCAGTCAGGATCTGGCAAGTGTCTTCGAAGCACCAAGAAAATCCAACAAGGATCTTCCCAGCACAGTGGCCCACCGTCCGTCAATCAGCATATGTTGTTTACTGTCTTCCCTCGAATCCCCTTGGGAAATCCCCCCGAAAGCCGGTCGCCTGGAAAGTATCTTGCTGCCATCTGCTGAGCGACGGAGACCAGCTCTGGTCGAGCTTGCTTCGCCTTCATCCAGTTGAGTGCCTCTTCTTTGGACTCCAACCTTTGATTGAGCATGTTGCCATCATAGCCCATCTTCAGGTACCAGCGCCCGTCAGGGTATTTGATGGGTGGAAGAATGTACCAGAACTCTTCGGGATCCTTCGGCCCTCGAAGAATCAACACAGGCATAGAAGCCAGCGAGGTGGCGGCCTCTGGCGTCACTTCAAACAATACTGCCTGGCAGGGTTTTTGTGCATCCAATCAAAGCCAAACCAGGCATTTTAAGTATATGGAACAAACTTCATAGTATACATGTCTACTAGTCTGCTCATGCCTGTGACATCTGAGTTGTGATGTCCAACGACTTGTCGGGGACCAGCCACTTCGTCATCCAGCCAGCAGCTAACACAACCTAGAGCTCACACGTTGGAAAAAAGAAGGGACACATTCTAGGGCTTGCTACAGCAAGTCTCTTGCCAAGTGGTATGCAGCCCCTGTGCGGTCCTCATTGCAACTTTCCTGATAGGTCTTGGTATTACACTGCAGGTCCTAACTTGAACAAGCTGAGCAGAATGGTCTTTGAGGGGCCTATGTTCCATGCCTGAAGGAACTGTACCCTAAATGCCTCATGCCTGAGCAGCTGTTCCTACAACTTGAGAGGGTGGTCAGGAAAGAACAGGTCGGAACTTTCTGTGAAGCAAGAAACCTTTTGAGCCTCGACCTGCTGGGAGCCCTCCAGGTGAAGTATCCAGTGATCATCCTGCCAAAGGACAGGTACTCTGCTTTGAAATTACTTCTCTTGCACGCAACAGAACAAACTTGAAATACGTGCAGTTGGAGTATTGACATTGGATATTAACTTGTTGGTACACAAACACCCTTCACAATGCACCACTTCTGCCTAAGGACTCTCTCCCCTCAAACACTCTTCATGCTGATTGCGCTTCTCTCTCTTACACATATGCATTCTACTCGCCTGGGGCTCGGCTTGCTCGAGGTTCCGGCTGATCACATCAGTTCCGTTCCTGCAAGTTCTCCCCTTTGATCCATGAACCGTCTGGAAGAATATGTTCTGGCACGCTGCTATACACTGTTGTATCCGCCCTAACAAATGATATTCCTAGATAGAAAGAGCTACAAACAAATTCCCACACTGCTGGTGATATTGCTTTGACATCATGTTTGCATCACTCCTCTTGGCTAAGACTGCTTGGATCTTGGCCAATGCACGGGGGCTCAAATGTCCAGCTTTCTTTGGCTGCCAAATGCCTTTCCAAGAGTGTTCGTCGAAGGGGAGCCTGCAGTTCGGCTGGAGCGAAGTATATATAATATATATGCCGACTTAACCCATGTCTCAAGCAATGTACCTTGCATGCTGAGCATTCTCAGCCACACTCGAGAGCTGCTGTTATCAGACCTCTTCAGTTTCTGGCATGAGTACTCTGAGCCTCAGAAAGGGGAAGTGCTCCTCTAATGCCTCTTTACCGCTGTAGACGAAATAGTCCTTTCCTTCCTTGGTTGCGATCTCCGGTGCATTCTATAGATAGCCACAAACACAAAGTAAGCACCTATCAAGACTATTGACCCCCCTCAACCGTACTAAAAATGCGCAGATTGCTGTTACACCCGTCAGATTCATACTGGGATGCTGTCATTGTGTGTGTGTGCCCCTAAACTGCACTGTTCGATGTCCACATGAACCGTAAATGAATAGAAAACCATAGCAGCTAAGCCATCTGCTACTCCGCGAGCCCGTCTGCCCCTCCGCCAGCTACGATCTCTCTCACCTCGCGCCCCAGCGTCAGTTCCGAACTGGGCCATGGTCTCTTCAACTTGGCGGATGTACTCCAGAGCAGGGTCTCCGATCGCCAAGAAGCCATTCTCTTGATAGAAGCTCTCACCGGCTTCATCTTTGATGGCCTTGCGCTTGCACACGAACTTTCACCACAAGCAATACCCTAAGTGAGATGGTTATATATATACAGTTATGCCCCTTGATTCTATGTAGGAATTCGCCATGTACAATCAAGAAGCATAAAAGAAACATACACACTGGCACACCGAAGACGCTCTGGACCATAAAAGACTCACCGAATTGGTCCAAGCAGGTGGTCTCGGTGTGAAAACAGAGATACTTCGTCGGTCACCGGGCCTCGTACTCCTTAATCGAAAGGTCCGCCAGGTCAGCCCAGACTTTGTCGGGGTCTGCAATCCGATAGATCCCTGGACGGGCAGAATTCCGTTTGGATCAGACTTCAGACTTGGCAGTTGTGTCCAAAAAGAAATGGATTTGCTGAAGCAGCAAGTCCAACATGCAGGATTACTAAAGAAGAGAGCCTACCTAGGTACACTCGAGGTCTGGACATCCCAAATTCTTCAGCGAGGAAACATGAAAGGCAAAGATTCTCCCACAGTCAGTGGTCACGCCAGGGCTCGGCCCTCGTCATAGCATGCGCCCAGGGCGCCCTGTGCCTCTGAACGACCCAGCAGTGCCACTCGCAGACCCTTGGCACTGAGGTACTTCGCACAGGCCGAGCCGATCAGCCCAGCACCCACCACAGCCACGTCGTACATGGGAGCGAGAAGGTCGGGAGCGGACGACCTTGGGCGACCTTGGGCCTAACAGCAACTCACAAATCATGGTGGAAAACATGTGACGGTGGGGGATTGGTAGTGGGGTTGGCCAATTGACATGCGACGTGGGCAAATCAAGTCATCTTCTCCAGCTAGCCAAACAGCTTGAGACTTGCAATGCAAATAACAACAGGACAAAGCCAAACTCTTGCAAGTGCACACTAGGGACTAGAACCAGCTCCAAAGCTGGTTTGAAGGAATTGACCCATATTTGCAATGGAAACTCAATGTGTGTGTTACACTTATCGCTGTCACTTATTGCTGTGACCCTCTTGCACAAGATCTTGTTGCCCTGTGAAACTTCCAGACTCCTGCTTCACCTCCACACCTGCTTCACCAGGATACCATGCTTGCTGCGCTCTGTCTGCACAATTCGCTGCAGCTGCACCTCCATGTGGGATCTTGGGCACCCAAAACCAAGCCGATGGGATGCAGTGTGCAGCCCGGTGTCCAATAGTGGGTTTTGAGGCTTTTGATATGTCGCGCTCCTCGACAAATCTCAAGAATGCCTTGTTCTATGAAATGGACGGCTGAACAAAACTGGTCAGTCTGTTCAGGCAACGTTCAGAATTCAGACATCCTGGCTGTGCCAGGTCCAGGCCTCCATGTTTCGAAGGTCAAGGTGAGCCTGGTCCTGAGCTCCACGACAGCCGCAACAACGGACCAAACTGGAAACCGCTTCCCCTTGCACAGCGAAGTCTTGAACGAAGGGGTCATGCAACATGGCTAAGGGTTTCATTGGCCTCAGCTGAATCCAAGCCCCACAGCCCCGTCCATGCACGCCTTCTGCCGAAGCAGGAGCATCTCCGGGCTGCAGCCCGGCGACCCGTCGCCAAAGGTCCGCAGGTCGTAGAGCAGCCTGGTCCACGTTCGTTAACGGCAACGGACCACGGCAAGTAGGCGCGTACTTCATTAAGGGAGTCGTTGAAGGATCTTCGCTACTAGCAATAGGACGCTTCTAGGAACAGGATGCAGGATTTCTTCAAGGAAGCTCCCCACGCCTGAGGGGGGAGCTTCCGTGAAGAAGCTGATCTTAAATCTTCGCGTGGGGTCTGACCTTAAGTTAATTTCAGGCAGGAGAAGGTAGAGAAGTACCTGTTTCAAACAAACCTGACAACATTCTATCATAGCATCTGTACAACGAATGCTCTATGGATTGCTGGTGGCATTATAGACGGTACCTAGTCAAGTCTATACTATGTACAGTCCCTAGTAGCGATGGCCTCCAACCTACTAGCGATAGAGTCCAACCTAATAGCGATGGTACCTGTGACTAGGTTCTTTGACTCAAGATCTTGCCACTCGCACAAAACTTGTTGCGGAGATCTTCTCAAATTCTGCTAGCTATGGTGAAACTGAACTTCCAAATCCAAGTGCTAAAGAAAGAAACATCTAGCTTGTCCTAGCTTCCAGGTTCTAAATAAGTGGTGAGCGGGACCACCGACGTGAGTGCCACTGATCTGAGTAGAATCTTCACACTTGCCTTGTGTGGCTCCATGTCTTTTAGCAGCACAGCTTAATGCCAGGAACCCCTAGTAGCTTCTTGCTCCTAGTAGTATGTACATAAGAAAGTCACATATCCAGCAAATTCAATTTTGCGGCAAGACATTGATCCTTTTTGGCTAAGCTTTGCAGTCTGTTGCAAACATCAACTACAGTTCAGCCCTTCAGTGTCTATCCGTACTTCACACCCGCACCCACTGCCTTCGGGTGGGATCTGAAAAACACCGCCAAGCCGCCTGCACCTGAACTCGAGCTTGCAAAACTGCACTCTGGAGAGTATCTCTCGTCAAAAGCCGAACGAACGGCTCTCACTCAAACAAAGCTGCGCCCATTTCACCGCGGGGCGAGGTGCGAAAACAGTAAGGCTCAGGGATCCCTTAATTGGGCCAGTCAGGCGGTTGTGCCAACATGTCAGGGATTTGACTGCATGAATTTCTCACTGGTATTTTCTTCTTTGGCACAACCCGCAATGACCGCCAGCAACTTCTCGTTGCGAGGGTGCTCGAGGAGGATGGCAAATGGGTCGTTCAGCCACCTCCGAAACGTGGACCTCAAGGTCTCGCTCACTTTAGTGAGCCCGTCAGCAAACTGGCAATTCGACGGAAGCCAGTGCATATGAGACTTGTCGACCGTCTCCTGAATTGCTCTCACGTTGCAAAGGGACCTTTTGTCCGTGAGGTTAGGTGCCTCGCTCACCACTGCATCGTAGAGCGATTTCGCGTCCGTGGTCTGGACATAGTCGACCATGGAGCCAAGGCGGTGAGCCGGGCCATTGAAGAGGATCTCGGACAGGGCCATGTTCAAGTAGGCCGCTCGGTCTGAGGCCTCGTCTGCTGCTGAGGCTTCGGCCGCTAATGTGGATCTGCAGACCCTGGTCGCCCTGCAAGACCTCCAGTCCATAGGCGAGAAAGCCGTGGGCTGGCTTCGAACCTCAGGAGGGCAAATGCCGATGAGGATGCCGATCTGTGAGCCGCTTCGAGCGGCGTTGCACCATGAGGCGTCACTGAACGTGACGATGACGGTCTTCTGGTTCATTGGGATGTCTTGCATCAAGAGCCCTTCATGTGGGGAGCTCTTCAGGTAGCTCATGGCGTCATAGAGGTCCTTGAGGTTATGGCACGTGGTCTCTTTGCCTTGGTTGGACAGGCTGACCACAGCTCCAATTTCTGGCCTGCATTGTGTGGATGCCCACTGCAAACAGCCTGACACCGATCTGAACTCACGGTGCTCCAGAGGCGTCAATTCTGGCGGACTGGAAGTCCTTCCTCTCGGGAGCTTGGCGGAGTCCAAGCCATTGATGAACTTGGCCATGGTGATCTTCAGCTTCCAGCGCTTATTCTCCAGTTGGTGGAGGTGTAACTCTTTGCCCTTAAATGTGACCACTTTGTTTGCAAGGTCGTGGAAGGAGCCCCAGGCAAAGGCATCTTTGACTTCCTGGATGTTGTAGTCACTCCTGAAAACACCCAAAAAATCATCAACGTAAACCAAAATCATTGACACGATCTGCTGACCTTCACGCTTGATGAACAGCATTTGGTCGAAAGTGTGGCGAGTGTAGTGGAGTCTAGTCAGTCTTGCCACTACTTCATTGCACCACAAGGCCGGTGCATTTGCAAGGCCATAAATGTTGCCCATCACCTTGTATAGAGGGTGTGACCAGCATGGTGTCACGTCGATCAAGCCGTCCTTTGGAGGGTACATGTACAACTCCATGGGGCGCTCTGAGGGCTGCTGTCCCTGCAGGAAAGCCGTGGCGGCGTCTGCCGTCCAGGAGTGCCATTTGAGCTGTGTGTCAAACAGCTCGCAGTTCGCTCCGGCCGTGATCATTGCCAGCATCAGCATCTCAGTCGTTCTGCCTGGTGTGGGAGCTGACCGATCTAGAAGCTCTAGATCTGGGTCTAGGTGGCCTAGGCACACGACGCGGCACTTTGCTTTCAACTCGCCTTGACCAACGTTCTTGTCACGGTAGCATGCCCTGGATCTGAGGATCCTTTTGGAGAGGATCTTGTCGCGGAGGACTCTCTGGGCTTCTTCTCGAGTCAGCGGCTTCACACTTCTCCACTCGGACCAACTGTTGGCTTCCTTGATGATGGAGTCGAGGAACTTCTCCACATAAGGCCTTGGCATGGATGCTATCTGCCTCCAGGGGATTTCCCTGTCCAGTTGTTTGGCTTCTTGTCGTGTCATGTTCCTGCTGGGTTTGTCTGCTGGTGTGCTTGTTGACTCGTCAGAGTCTGCGCTGGTGTCTGATTCTTCTGCTAGCTTGCTTGTTCCGTTGACGTCTTGCTGTCTCTGCTGTGTGGTGAGGTAGATCTTGTGGAACCTGCAGCTTGCTCTGCCGAACCCTTGTGGTGGTGTGCCTCCCCATGTTGGGTTCATGGTGGTAATGGTGCCGTCTGCCTCGTGCAAGAGTGTGTGCAAGCTGTCAAACGGTCGTTTCTGTGGTAATGTCGGCAGGGGTTCCTGCTGTGCTGCTTCTTGCTCTGTGTCCGGTGGTAGTTCAACAGGTATGCCAGGAGGTTCTGCCGAACGTTGTGGACCCTGCGAGTGTCTGCCATGTGCTTCTGCGGCTGCCGATGCTGCTACCACTGTGTCATGTTCCTGTTGGTGGTGTAGAGCATTATGTCCCTCATTCTCGGATGAGAATGGTGTGGTAGGGATGGCAGGCGGGTCCTCTGCCAAAATGGCTTGTTGGTGAAACTGTGTGCCCTGCGGTGATGTATGGCCCAGTGTGGCCGTGGCATTGTCTGCCAAAGGTGGCGCCGAAGATTCGGCTGCCGGTGCAAGTGCTGATGTATCAGCCAGTGCTGCCTGTGAGGCTTGTTGCGCAACTTCATCCGGCTGCGTTCTAATCCCCTTGAGGGATGAAGCGGCCTGCGATGGAAGTGGTGGACTCTTGGTGTAGGGTCCATGGTGTCGTCGGGATCTGCTCAGAGACTTGGGAAGGTCTCCAAACCTCTGCATCTGCACCGTGGTGTGCTGGTGATGGATGTTGGTAGGGCTATCGATGTTGACGTGGATAGCCGTTGCGTGCTGGTGAGCCACTGGTGGCGGTGTTCCAGGCGCTGCGGTTGTTGGGGCCGGTGTCGCTGGAACCATCATTGATGGCGTTGGAGGCGGTGGAGCAGCATCGTACTCCAGTGGTGCATCTGCCAACTCTTCTGGTGGTCCGTCTGGTGGAGGTTCGCCTCTCTCATCTTCGAGCATGTGCTGGGTGAAGGATTCAGCCGCATTCTTCAATGCCTTTATGTCTGACTGGTCAGGTGTCCAGTCTTCGAATCCATGAGCTGTACGGAGCTGTTCTGCGGTCACCAACGTCGTCGAAGCTCCCAACCTCACCCACGCTTGCTTGCCAGCATGGCCTGGATCCCATGACAGGAATCTTGCGGTCAACCATGCTCCTCTTTTGCGAACACCTTTCTTGGACCAGCGCCAAACTGCGCAGCGCTGATCCGGTTGAAGATCTGGTATGGCGGTGTTCCGCGTCTTCCTCAACAATGCCCTCCGCAGCTGTTGACTCGCATTCAAGTCGAGCAAACATTTCTGTGCTTCACTTCTCACGAGCTCTGCGCGAAGCTTGGGGTTGTAGTTCTCGTCGAAGGCCTGGGTGGAGCTCGAGAGGACATGGTCGTCAGAGAGGACGTCATTGGGAAGGCGAGGCTGCCTCCCAAACACTGCTTGATATGCTGAGCGGCCTCTGGAATAGACCATGTTGTTGCTTGCGTGGCAAGCTCCGATGAGGATTCGTGGGATGTCCTCGGGCTCG